CTTGGCCTCGTGCCGAGGCCGGAGGGGTTCAGTAACTGCATCATCTTCCAAATGCTGCGCTAGAAACAGCCGAGACTTCTCCGGGTAGTTGCTGATAGCGAAATTCAGAAATCTGTGAAATGAAAGCGTCGGCAAAATGAAAGATGCGTCGCGGATCAATTCTCTCACAGATATGTCCTGCCACAACGCTGTTAGCAGATCTAACGCCCAGTTCCGGAGCTCTGCAGGCTGCTCTTGCAGCAGGGTGTCAGCTTCTTCCAGAAGCCAAGCTCGCAGATGAACACGTCCCTCCAACGCCATGAACCCATGCTCATGTTTGAACCACTCGTGGCGCTTCACTGCGACTGCTACTGCTACTGCTACTGCCACTGCCACTGCCACTGCCACTGCCACTGCTACTGCTACTGCTACCACTACTGCTACTGCTACTGCTACTGCTACTGCTACTACGACAGCTACAGCTACAGCTACAGCTACAGCTACAGCTACAGCTACAGCTAGTGCTACTGCTACTGCTACTGCTACTGCAACTGCAACTGCTACTGCAGTAGTAGTGTAGCGGCAGCGGCAGCCGTAACGTAAGAGCCGTAACAATTAGAATAGGGTTTGGGGTATCATTTTACTAAGGGACCACCCAAAATAGTATTGGTAATCATTTAAAAGCCCCTACATTATGAATATGGTTTTGGGGTCCTTGACAGTAAAATATTTCATAAGGAACCCCCAAGAAATATAAGTAATCATTGAGGCCCCTTGTTAACCAGAATCTGAATGTCTGAATGTGAGGATCTGAGGATCCTCCACCGACCCGAACCTTCAGCTGCCGCGCGAAGAGCTGCCAGCTCCCTCCTGGCCATGCTTGGGGGTTTAATATAGAGGCCTTAATAATTAGAATCGGGCTTTGGGGCCCAGTATACTATAGTTATTTTAATGTAGGGGCCTTAATCATTAGAATAGGGTTTGGGGGTATATTATAGTATATAACTACAATAAGGAACCCCGAAACCCTATTCTAATTATTAAGGCCCCTACATTAGAGGGTTCACGCTCAATTTTCATGATTAAGAGTTAAGGGTTTAGAGTTGTTTTTTTACAAGGTTCAAGGTTTAGCGCTTTGGGTCGAGGATTTTGAGGCTGTCGTGAAGGAAGCATTCTCGTGAGGCCTACTGCACACCTGGAACACACTAAAGTTAAAAACCTGAGCTGCGCAGGGTAGGCTGTGGGCTGAAAGTGTGGAGGGGCAGCCAAACTTCAGTTTGAGGCTTGAGGCTCTGCGAATCGCCCAGAATATCTGCGAGCTGTGTGCGCCGGAGCGCCAAAACCGATGACCACAGCCTTGTAAAGAATTTCAACTTTGTCATATACGTCCTGAAGCTCAGAAATGATGAATCAGCTGTTTGGCGATCGATTCGCTATTGTTTCAAGAGCGGCTTCTTGCTGTGGAGCGGCTGCGGCCGTACTTCCCTTAAACTACAAGAGAGCTCCAAAGCTGGCATGTGCCCCAGTGCAAACTTTGATTGACTGTCCAGGTGTTCAGAGTTGAGACGTTGCGGGAGCGACAACAGCGACACTTGGTCCTCCGTAGGGAGATCTCAAAGGAGCCGTCTGGCACGAAACGCCCCGCGACTGCCTAAGTGGTGGAAGCGCCGTGTGGCTCTAGGATTACGAGTTAAGGCATTGGTCTGAGGGTTTGGGAATCATCGATTCCGACAGGCTTCTAGGAGTCGGTCTAACTTTGGCTTGAGGATTTGGGCGTTAATTAGGCGGGAAGTTAAATCGAAGAGCTGAGGGTCTTTGATCTTATGCTGCAGAATACAAAATTTATGAACTGAGGCTCAGGGTAGGGGTCTTTCGTAATCAAGATTTAGACACTTTAGGGTTTACAGCTTGGTGGTTTCGATGTATTGAGTCCTTAAGAGAAGGCACCATGGCCAACCTTGAGACGTCGGTGGAAGGTCATGGCACATGTGACAAAACTCGAGCGTGCAACCCTAACCATAGAACCCTATAAACCCTCAAAGCCCTAACCCAGGCACAGCCGAGCAGCAGTGAGAGGGACCATAGGTCGAAGGCCCAGTACCGGGCCTCCAACGCCCCCGAACGGCTCTGAATGGCAGCTGCCTGACCCAGGGTGTTTTGGGTTTCGGGTTCGTTAGGGTTTCGCTTTTGTTGTCCGGACCTTTTCCCCTCGACCTGAGCCTGTGCCCATGCAGCTCCCCTGAAGCTCCGGAAATTCGTGCACCAGAAGGTGGTGATGTAACACAACATGAACCTCTTGGTGCCAAGATGAACACGGGATGCCCTCCACTGTCACTGACGACACTCCGGACCATGGGCACCACGGGGGCTTAAGGGAGGGGCCGAGGGCAATGACTCTGGATGAGGTGACGTTGTGACGTTGGCAAAGGTGGAGGTGGCCATGAATGAGCTTCGGGCAAGGTAGGTGCAGAGTTCCAGCAGTACGACGACGAGGCTTCAAGGTGAAGTTCGCAAGTGTGGTGTGGCCCAGACACTTGGGATCGACCTAGTCGTTGCGAGGGTTTCTGGGGGTCTGTCGATGTTTTTGGTCCAGGACCGCTTCGAGCTTCGGGCTTCGGGCTTAATACCACCGTGATTTCGATTGGTGGAGATTCCCGAAGTATGGGGTTTAAAGTTTACAGCCTCGGGCTCCGAAGCTTTTGTGGAAATTACCGGAGCGGGCCGCCCAGGCTTTGTTTCGCTATGGCGACTGCCATGAACTTCGAACCGACTTTGCAAGGGATCTCGGAGATCTGGCTTTGCTGTTTTCTACGCTTCCGGCTGACTAGTTGTGGGAAAGATTACACACATTACCTAGGAGGCCTTCGGACCGCCAGCGAAGAGCTTTGGTTTGAGATGTCTGATCTCCATCTGTATGTCTCAGGGTTCAGAGTTGTACTTTGCGATTCGCGCTTTTATGACGAATTCATCTTCAACACCGGGACCCCCGAACCGGGTATGCAGACTCTAGACCCCGGAAGCCCCCTCCCTCTGCCTGGCTCAGACTTGGGTTGATCACCTCTATCTGGAAAGAGAAGGCCGTCCCTGCCGCAAAGAACTGCCCAGGAGACAGGCTCAGAGACAGCAGGCCATCCGCAGACCTTCGAGGGTCTTGGTTTCAGAGTTGATGAGCATCCTACGAGGTGCTGAAGTTCCCATTTGTTGCAGGAGCTCAGTCCTAGCTGCCTAACTGAAATGATGTGGGCCGAAAAATGCACTTTCTGTGGCTTTCATTCCCTGAATGTGGTCCGAAACATCAAAACAAAAATCCCGCATCCGATCCGCAGAAGACACTCCGAGGTCGCGATTTTGGCCTCCAAACTGCCTTTGGCGAAAAAGGTGCTCCCGCCACTCCCCCTGCCGACATCGTGCTCCCGCCACAGCGCAGTGCGTGCTTGCGCCTCCAGATACCGTGCTTTCATCCCGCCCACATTTTGGCGGGACTCGGATTGCCGACACAACGCGGCGCATGTTCTGGAGTGCAGATCCCGCTAGTTTCGACTCATGGAGTGGTCTTGGAAGCCTCAGGGATGCTCTTGTATTGATCGGGCACAGGGCTTGGGCTTAGAGAGTATACATGCTGCGATATCTTTGCCATCCGAAATCTCAAGTGCAGCCAAGGAGGCAGGCAGCCCGGATCCAGCAGCTGCGGGAAGACCTTCCGCACAGACACAGGCACAGACACACAGACACAGAGAGAGAGAGAGAGAGACAGACACTTTTGCACAACACACACACACACACTAAACCCGAACACCCCGGACCCAACCCCCGCCCTAGCCCGCGAGACAAATTGAGAGCTGAGCCCTCAACACAGGGTAAGTAAATGTCAAATGTCAAACCCCTTCATTTATAAAACGCTACAAATGCTTGTACACCATGGAGGCAAGAAGCTGTCTGTGAGGCTGCCGGCGCTGAGAAGCTGAGGCACCTGCTCGGGCTGAAAGCCCCAGATGCAGGGCGGCGTTCAGCTTGAAAATTCCACGCTTCATGTCTTCTGGTCTTGAGATCGGGTTTGGGGCATAGGGCCTAGGGTTTGCAAAATACGGTGCCATACAGCATGGGTGTGCGCTGTCGGGATTTTCGGGGTCGTCGCGGTCCCGTGGTCCTCCGGCTCTCTAGCTCTGGCCAAGGTAATGGCTGTGTTAGTAAGAAGAAGACTACGAAGGGTTGCGGGGGGAATACGAGCATGGGGGAGGAGGAGCAGCAGCTGCGGCTGCAATTTCTGCTGCTTTTGCTGCGAGACGTGTCTTGTTCTGAGAAGCCTCGGGTGATGACTTCGATGTCGGTGACTTGCCAAAAAATGAATAGGCAGGACCTTCTACTGGCACGGCCTGTCTGAGTCTATGCCCTTCCAAATAGTTGTGTTGGTGCACGCTGCATGTTGGCACAGCAGAGTGGACAAATTCTGGCTTTGCTTTTTTCAATCCAGCTCTGATACTAGTTACGAGTAGTAGTAGAGTGTAGTAGACAGTCGACCCGGATGTGTAATTCCAAACATTCCCAATATAGCCATTACGCAAGTATTGGGGTCTGCCATTGTTCGGGATCCAAGCAGCGGTATTCCTGCCCGACCCAACGACATACACCGACCAAGGCCATCCACATACACCCTGACCGTTTTGTTTGAGAGCTTAGGGCTTGGGGTGCATGGGGTTTTTACAGCTTCTGGCTTATCAGCGTGCAGGGCAAAGAATGAAGCGTTGCTCTGCTCGAAACCCAAGCCGAAAACGCTGAGAAAAAAAAAAAAAAAACAAGGCCCGGGCGCAGGAAGGCAAACTCTTCCGGCCCCTGCAAGGCTATGGAGGCGTCCGTCGACAAGAGGCTCAGGGAGGTCTTGAAAAACACCTGCAGAAGCGCTGGCTTCGCAAGTGCGGAAATTTGTAGTTCAAGGGCTTCTGGCTGCTGCATCTCCCTGCTTAGTAGTAAACTCCCTCAACCTGCAGGCGCATGTGTGGAAGCAGGGCAGGGTGTTAAGCTCCAGAGGGCTTTACGACCCTATATGTATACGAACCTTTAAGTAGACAAGAACTCTGAAATCCTTTCTAAGAATCTACGGCCTAAGATTTAGGGTAAGCCGATGGCAAAGACAACCCTAAGCCGTCCTGCACTGTACCTCAGAGAGAACGAGCACTATCAGCAATAGAACTATCTTGATGCACCTTCAACATACTTATAAGGTCCGTCCCTGAACCCTGGGATCAAAAACCCTCGACCCCGGTTCGACCGAAAACCCAGAACCCTCATGACATAGACACAGAAGTATAAAGAGGGAGTAATAGTAAGCCGAAAGAGTTCCTGTATAAGTGTCAAATGCTTCACCCCATCAAACCCATTCTAACTGTTCTGGTTCCTATATAT